ACATATCCTAAGCGCTCCCATGCGCTGCCCTTCGAAGTCGAACTCCCATGCGCGTAGACGGCGTGTCAAAGTCGTCCTCTGGGCGTTGCTTCAGCTGGACCTGGGAGTCCAAATCGACAAAATTGAAGCGACGAAGGAACGCCTGCAGTTGCTCCTGGCGCGTGTGGCGCGTCTGGCGCGTGGGAATGGGTTTGGATCGAAAGGTTGACCAAGTTCCGGAGGAAGAACATTTTATTCTTCTTACCTGGTCTTATAACATGGATCAGCTGCAGTCGACGTAGGAATTGATTGTTTTTTTTCTTGCGTGGCAAAATATGGGACGGTCAAGACACGAGTGTCTCGCAAGATTCTATGCGGAAAGAATTGTCAATTTGGAACCTTCAAGAAGAAACGGATTTGTGGTGTAAAGGTCAAAGCAGCTGGACATAATAGGTGGATGACATGTAGTAGCACAGAAAATAATGAAGGCTTTGTTGTTCGAGTGCTATGAGTGCCATGACAACTTTGACAACGTATGCCAAAATGGTGCTGTGATCTTGGTGAAGAAGCACACCAGGAATGAAATCCGAAACCCTGGACACCATCAAACCATCAAACAATAGATACACATGGACCCTACATGGAGTCCACATGGAGTCCACGTCAATATCTATGAGTCAGAGAAAGACTCTTCTACCCACTATTTCTACCCTTTCCGAAGCGACTTCAGCATTCGGTCTGACAGGATTGCAAACAGATTACAGGCGGGATCAGTTCAACACAACCGAAAGTCCTCCCCAAAAGGCATCCAGCACTTTGGGCAGTGAGGAAAACAACAAGTGGGCCTTCAAATTCTTGACCCAAACTTGAAACAGTTAACTCTTGATTCACTGGCCAAATACTTTGCAAACTGAGTGTCTTCGAGCAACAAAGACTGCCCAAGGCGGATCAATCTTAGAGAGCTACTGGACCTACAATATATATATATATATATGTAAAGATACATATTCTGCCCACAAGCAATCCAACCACACAGGCCGTGTCCGTGGCCAACCCCAAAAAACTGCACCAAACCATTCACAAAGAACATTTGAAGTCTTAGTAGGGTGGAGGCCATCGCTTCTAGGTTGGAGGCGATGGCCTTAGAAACAAAGAGAAAAGAAAAGGAAGAACGTTGAAAATAAAGGTGCTTTAAAGTCTTAGATCGAATCCGTCTGCGCTCGGCTCGGCTCCAGATTTTCGGAGCGCTCCTCGCGCTGCTTCTTCCGCCTCTGCCGCGCCTGGAATCCGGCCGTCTGGTGGAGGACCTCGTCGGAGGCCTCGCCACGAAAACGGAGGGAAACGGAGGAATCCATGGAACAAATCCAGGAATCAGGTGAGGAATGGACATTTGCAGCGTTGGTAGCAACACAGACTTCTGTTTCATTTGGCTCCATGGACCCAAGTGCCAACTAAGTACCAAATGAATGGAACCAAGTGCCAACTAAACTTGGAACCATGACGAGCCATGGATATAAAACTAATTCACAATATTATTGCACAACTATTATGGATTTTTTTGGAAGTTTACCCCCTGTTCGTCAAGGTTACAGTGCATCGTCTTCCAAGAAAAACATAAACTATGCATCCCTATGCCATCCAGACCTCCAGGTTCCGTGTGATGTGTTCATCAGAATTGGAACCTCTCTATCCCTTTGAAACACACCCGTTCGGTTCACGGTACACACCGAGGCGTCCTCACGCGCCGGCGGCGCGGCGTTCTCGGGCCAACCTCGGCGCTCGGCGCGATCGCGGCTCGGCGCAAACGAAGAATCCGGCCATAACTGTCTGCGGTCTGGTGAATTGAAGGGTCCGCAGTTAAGTTAACATGTTCATGCATGTTCACTCTAGATGTTCAGTCCTCAATCCAATCAATTATGTTTGGGTCATCCACACTCCGCAAGCTTTGCTATATGGCTCTCTGCCAGGACACTTGGCAAAGCGTCAAGCTCAAAGACTTCGGGTTGCTCGGATTCCGAGACACAAAGGACGATATCCATCCCTGAGGGGATCATGGTGGGCGAGAAGGACATACAAGTTTCCGTGCGTGGAAAGTCCTGTAGATGTTGGGGGGCCCTTGGGTGATTTCAACCTACCAACGACAAGTGATTTCAGAACAGCCAGAATCATCTGGGTTCCGAGAGAGTGATGTTCTCTAGAAACGCTTCGACCGCTCCGATTGCTTCGAGATGGGAGCCAAACGGTCATTTCGTTCCCTCCCGTCCCCAGCAGGTCCGTTTGAATATTAGGGCCTATGCACCCCATGTAGGTGTCCGTTCCGAAGGTGCAAAGTGATGAGATCATAGATCACAATTCTGATGGACAGGGCGAGACAAAAAATATCAGCCTTGCCAAAAAATGAATATCATCGGAGAAATATGGATCTTCATCCGGAACGTGAAACGCTGGAGTTCTAGAGATTCCAGAGATTCGGGGCCCCACATCTTGCCAAAAAGATCCGCCTATTGGAAACCCAGGTTTCTTATATATGGATCTATTATGACCACCCAACCACCCTCACCGAAAAGGCCAAGAACCCAAAATAGGTTTCTGGGTCCGTGAAGATTCACTGGGTAGGAATGAAATCCGAACAACTACAACACAAAGTACTGAATTTCTATCAAGATCCATCGCTGGCTGCCAAATTCCAGGCACACTCTGACACCCTAGCCATTGTCAGAAAAATGTTATATAACAACTACGCTATACTTGGATCCTCCTTTGGGCTGAGAAAAGTGCTGGACCTCGATCCGGCAAAATGCTCCGCCGGATTTCCAGAAAAACACGCTGAGGACCTGAACAAACATCCGGATCTAAGATTGTGAAGAACAGATGATGAAAGGTTGGGTCATACACTGCAAGCACCTGCCTTTGCAGCCTTTGCACCACGAGTAGTTTTTTGGAACGCATTCATTCCACAACCCAATATTGGAGCCTTCCCGTTCCCGTTGCCCTCGCCCATCTTCCGAAATGCCTAAGAGCAGAACCATCACAAAATATAAACAAATTTGTGCCCAAACAAAGATTTAAGAACAAACCAAGGAGTATGTGGGAAGGAACCCCTCTTTCTGTGCAACCATGTTTTTAAAGGTTTCTTTTGCAAAGAGGCTTGCTCTCTCCAGGATATTTCAGCTTGCCTCAGGACCTCGACCCCTAATAAACGTAAAAATTATGGTTTCAGTCAAAACGCTTCTGTAAGCAGCTTATCCCGATTCAAAGTTTTCGGAAGACGGGGTCCGGAAAATAACGCCGGAGTTACGGGAAATTTGGCCGGAGTTACGGGGAAATACGCCGGAGTTACGACGAACCGTTTTTGGGCAACTCTCTGCAAAACATTGAAGTTCTGAGTCTGAGCAACACACGTTAACCTAAAACTTGTCCGGCAGGCTCTGCAAACCTGGCAGCTAGAACTATATCCCAGCGCCCCGACATCCTGAAAGTCCTGAAGCAATGGGAATACATGGGCCCTAGACCATCTGGGGCCCCAGGGTGGATGGGGCCCCAGATTGTTTGACCGACACCTGGCCAAAAATTAGTCCATATAGTGAACACCTATCAGGAATAATTTACAGCCATGTCTGCCTTGCAGTCTATCAGTGATCTTACGCACGTTCCAAACCACAGGTTCAGTTTCAGTACAGTGATCTTCTGCGTTTTGATTCCTCTTCGTTTCCGGTCGCATCAAGTGATCTGCAGGCGGCAAAGGGCCCATGGGAATACACTATCGCCTATGTTCTTTCAGCTTAGGTACACCCACTTGCGTCTTTCAACACGTGCATGGCACTTTGCCGAATTCATTTAGAAGATCACCTATACGGATCTGATTGAGCCAGTGTGAACCACTGCTGAAACCGGTGGAATCAGAAAACAGCGGAACAGGCGCACACTTTGCAAGCAACATCATTCGTCAGTATAGTGGATTTACCTTCAAAGAAGTGCGGACGACAAATTAGAATGCGGACTGAAGATCTAGGTATTTGAAAGCATCCAGTGGTTTTCAGGGGGCCATGCCATCCGCTTCCATGTGACGTGCTCGCTAGAGTGTACCCAGCTCTTCCCCTTCTGCCCCTTCTGCCTGCGCCCTGCGCGGAGGCTTGTTACCGCTGCAAGAGGCGCAGTCTCGCTCCCAAATCCACTCCACGAGCCAACAAGACGCAGCGGAGAGGCAAGAGACGGCAGAACATGAGGCAAGAGACGTACACTCCGAGTCACATCCCGTGTGACACCGTGGATGGCCCCACCTGTTTGTGTCAGAAGTCATCCGAACTCGGGGAGAAAGCCCATGCCATCCGCTTCCAAAAAACTATTTCAGGGAATGTAATCCCTACTTTAAGTAGGGATCCAAGTAGCTTCTCAGGTACGGTGATTGGAGACACTACTGTTCTGTAGGTGCCATTGTCGGGTTCAGCCGTACCGAACCTGAACTTCGGTACGACAACGGATCCCTATAGGGAATGAGAATTTGAGACACCCAGGTCGTGGATCCGCCCGGCGGATCGTTGTTTTCTGCCATGCCCTCCACACCGGAGTGCCCATGGGATCCATGGATGAGGTCCATTCGGACAAATATAGAAAACCGCTTGAACACCGCTATTGTTTGATCGTGCATCTGTTTTCATGTTCAGGAAAAACACACCAGCAGTCACAAGACGGGGTGCCGTTCTTAGAGAATAGGGGTGTCTATGATCCACTCAAGAAGCTAAAAGCCACCCCGTCTTGTGACTGGAAGATGTCTCCAAAGGTCTGCAGCCTCGCTCTTCGATCTTCAGAGCTGTCCCAAGGAGAAACACCGCGTCTTGAGAAACACCGCCTGATTGGGTGAGTCTAGCAGCAATGAATACCAGAGAGGATGGTGACTGTATTCAAGAAAGAAACACCATGTGGGATTTCCGGGTCATTTGAACCACCCTTTGGGTGGTGCTGGTATGTGCCGGTCACCCCCTCGTGCTTTGGGGGTCCATGGTCCCGCACGGCTCGCGAGCCTGCGAGGACCTCTTGCACAGCTGGCCGGCCAATGCGCTGATATGCCACTTCTTGACTGGCCTGGAGGCGAGCTAAGTTCACACGGAAAGACTCACAGGGTTTCCAAACGTAACGAACAGAGTTTCATGTGTTCCAAAGTTCATGGAACATAATTGGACATCGACCTTCCGGCAGCACTTGGAGCCTTCCAAAACATATCTACCACAGACCTCGACCACCGACCTCCATCACGGCGCCTCTTCACCGAAGGCGGTGTCGAACTCGAAGCGAAACCGCCTGGCACGACCGGGTGAGCGACGGTCCTATCCGGGGTGCCGGTCCGAAGAGAAGAAGCTGGTGGAAGTTTCGTGAACACAGGGAGTCTGAGATCCAAGATCTGCTATATAGGCTATAGGCTATAGGCTGTGTGTGTTTTTTGTTCAAAAAATGCAACACATGTAACACATGCAAGAAACATCACAAAAACATTTAAACAATGGGCTGAAACTGGGCTGCATCTACATCCAAATCTAGAAACACATCTTTATAGCTTACTTCCCCTATTAGCAAAGAGAAAAAACAACTCCGCAATCGGACCTCGACCGCCTTCTATATTACACCTTTAGTCAGTCTTTTTCAGGTCAATCCGACGGGCGCCCACACCGTCCAAACAAGCAAAACCCCCACCGTCCACAGTCGATCCACATGTCTCCCAACCAGTCTGACCATGACAGTCAGGCCGACAGTCAGACCCCGGTCCGCCAGACGGACGGACCGCCATCCGTTGTTTTCGACGAAGGTGAAAACCGTCGTTTCGAGTCGAGTCGAGTCTTCGTCGCGCGGAAGACGTTGTAACTGGGCCAAAGGTACCCATCTTGTGACTGCACGGCCGCCCGCTCTGCTACCCCCAAGGCCACGGAGGGCGAGTCGTCGCCTCGACGCGGAGAATCAACATGCAGGTGCGGACTCCGTGCGGACAGCTTTTCTGTGCTGCACAGGCATGGTTGCTGGGATTTATAGGAGTTGGGCAGGAGAATCTCTTAGACACCTTGATTTTGGAGGCACAAAACGTCTCATTTTCCTGTGGCTTTGCGGTGGGCTTTGTTTGTGGTCCTTCGGGACTACACGGAAAAACTAAAACGTCAACCCCACTGCTTGGAAGTGGACAAGCAAACCAACTTGCAAAGGATGCTGAGCACTACAAAAAAAGACATCCAGAACACCCAGGCCCCGCCAAAAAGGTTTCGTAAGCTCATGGGCTAGTTTTTGATGCTTGAAACAAGAAATCAATCTGAAATGAACAAAGGTCAATGGTCAAACAAATAGATTTGAGTCTACACAAGCTCACAGGCGTTCCTGTTGTTGATCCCCATTCTATCTCACGCAGTTTCGATTAATGTTCTCTGTATCTCACTGATTGTTCAAGTTGCAGTTTTGCATAGTTTTCCCACCCTTTCCAAACATCAAACCATATTCTTTGTCCAACAGAGGAACCACTGCACCATGATGGCCGCCTGGCTCCAAAAAAGAAGCCAAAAAAAAGAAAACCTAAGGAACGCTTTGATATTTCCTCCGCAGCCCTGAACGCCTGCCCTTTGCTCGTGAAAAACACCACAGACCATGGCTTCCCCCTAAGTCCCAATAACATCCAATAACATCAATTCGCTGAAAGAAACTAGCGATGATGGCCTCCAACCCAAATACGATTGTTTTGGCTTTCTGAACTGTGGCGGGTCTTCACTTCACCGAGCGATCCCGTGCAGAGCCCGGTCCACCTGCGTGGATCAGGAAGGCCGCATCGTCCGTCTCTTCGTGTTCAGTGATGGGCGGACGGAAGCGCGCCACCACGCGCACGTGGGTCTGGCCGGTGAGTTCCATACGGGTGGGGCTGTGTTGTGTTTTTTGGGTTTTAAGGTGTTTTTGTTATGCGAAAAAAGCAGGGATGCGGGCCAAGGCAGGGTGGAGGGACATATGTAAGTGACAAAAGATGCATTGGGATGGTCAACTTAGACTTGATAACTGGGACAAAAAAGGGATATAAATGATATAAGAAATCCTAAGCTCCATAAAATATAGGTTCAGAGGTTCACAATTCAATCTTGCATAATCTTGTGTCGTTCTCCGCTTTATATTGTATAACTACGAGGAGATCTGTACTTCATGTCCCCCAACATGGTGAATGGAGAGGTATGTTGAGCCAGGAACAAGGAGCACGTGCTCAAAAATTCCCAGAAGTTGCTTCAAGAGTGCTGGACAATAAAGCAGCAGCCTCAATTAACCTTATGTGTATTATATGTATATATTATATACATATATAACCTGGTTCTTCCAAGTGACCTTTTGATCCCCTGGTTTGACATCACTTAGGCCTAAAAGGTGACTTAGGGACTCCAAAAAGGTCACTTGGAAGTTGGAAGATGCTATATATTAGAGACAGCATTCAAAGCAATCTGATGCATGGCTTTATCATGGAACTCGTTTCCTGGCACGGTCAATCGACAACGACTGGGGCATTGTATTTCAAACAACGCTTTGGACATTGTGAACATCGTCAAAAAACAAAAAGTTTTTCTGAACAAAACTTCTTGGAGTCTTTCCGTCAACAAGTGCGACCGGAGCTGCTACCTGCAGCCACGAACTGCTAATCTGTGTTTTCCGTCATCGTCTGGGCCCATCTTGTGCCCATGTGAAAGTATAACTCTGCTGTAGGACCTCCTTTCAGATCTCCAAAGCTGAGCGCTGGGATGGGGAATTGACTCAAGGAAGCCGGGGAAACAATCACTTATATAGCGCACCTCTAGGTTTGGCAGGCGCTGTGGCAAGACGTGGCGAACGGACCGAACGAAACGGGGTGCATCGTCGACGGGGACTTTTTCCACGATGAGTCTCGTATGATTCATTGACACAGGCAACAAAATCTAGGGATCCAAACCTACATAACAGTGTCTCCAATCACCTTCTAAGAAAGTACTTGGATCCCTAGGCCTAGGAAACATAAACTTTAAAACATAATTGTCAGATAAAGCAACCGACACCCTATATAGTGGAAGATATGTTGTATATAAGGATTCCTAAGGTCACCGCAGGTCAATTTGTGCCACGACACTGGAATCCTAGTGGTTGAAGATTAATTTCAACTGCAAAGCCCAAGACAAACATTTCACTAGAGTTGATCGCGTTCGAAAGCTGCGACGACGTGGACACACTCTCTCCCTTGCCGCTTCAGTCTCGTTAGGAAAAGTGTCTGAAGCCAAATATGCTCATTAGCCATTAGACACTGCACTCATGCTCCACATCTGTACCCTTCGAGTGGATAATGCCATCAACCACACCAAGGTGTCACCATGCAGAATGAATTCCCTGGACAGGTCTCAAAATTGTAATCCCTCATACTCATGACCGCATACTTCTGCTGCGACACGTGAGTATAGCGCATGTGAAAAATCAGCCGATTTCTTTGGAAAAAGCAAAGAGACACGTGTTGGTGTTGCTGTTGGCCTCCTTAGAGCAAACAAAACCAAACACATCGGGAAAACCAAAGCAAACTGCCGTGATCTCACTGCCAGGTGTGTCTGCTACATCCCCCCTGCCTCCACCGAGGACGACACCGTCCCAGTCCCATCCTTGGCAGGGCATCCGTTGACCACCCGACGGGCACGAACGAGGCCCTCCGGAAAGAGATCATGGTGAGAAGAGCCTGTATTCTGCCACGGTTTTTGTTCCATACATCTTAACATCGCCAAGTTAGGGGTTCAGGGTGGAAGGTCTTCAGCCCACTTTTAAGTGGGGCTTCTGAGAAGGTCCACAGTCCACACCACCCTTGCCACCTCATGAAAACAGTCGTTTGCTGTGACCCAAATGTGGTCTATCTCCATAGCCAAGTGGAAGGTAGGCGTACCTACTGGGGTACCTATGATCCACTCACGTACGGGGTCTAAGCACCACCCCTTTGGAGCTCATTGATGTTCTACTTCCAATCAGCTCAGTTTGGGCCAGCTTAAGCCAGCTTAGACTTGGATGGTATTGCCCAGTCTGAGTGTCAGGAAGTGTCCACCAGGGGCCCGGTCTGCGAGTCTACACTGAAAACAGATTTGCTGAGACCCCCAAAGGCAGGTCATCACTGGTCAAGCGCAAGAACGAAAAAAGAATCCGTGAATCCATTCGACGAGTATCGAACCGGGATCTTCTAAAGACTTCTATACAGTATTATAGTCGCCTGGGGACCAAACCGAGATCTTTGACTCCTTCACTTGGTGATCAGCCTCTTCCGGTGACTCTTCGACTTCAAGTGCTGATCTCCAACTTTCTCCGTTCTTCGCATCTATGCATCTATGATATGGAATCCCAAAGATTCTTGGGAGGGGTGATGTGGGCATACCACTTGAGAAAGATGAGCCAGCCGGTTCCATCATCCCAAAGGTTGTTTTATAAAACATCTTTGAAAGCACCACCCACCACAGGTGTCTATGCTTGTGGCCCATCAGTCTGTCCCCCTGACACCGGCCCGCGTCTCCGGGCCCCCGGGCGGTCATCAAAGAGAGCGAACGTCGCGCGACTCGCCCGGCAGAGGGAGTGGCAATGGAGGCCCCAGAATTGAGGAGAGCGAGTGGGTTGTCCAGGTTGCTTTGACACACAGAATCTGCGTTTTCAGAGGTGCTGGAACAGACGTTCCGTCAACGTCATGAGCTCGGGCAATGGGGTCTGATCTTTGACCAACAGCGGTCCTGCACTCTCCTTGGGGCCTTGTCCTTGTCTTAGACGTTCGGTCTCTCTGTTCTCGAAGCGGACGAGCCGGAAGCGGACGGCGTGGGACGGCGTGGGAGGTAAAGGCACTTCTGGTGGTATGCTCAGTAACACTTGTGTCAAAGATCTGTGTTAGAGACAGGTTCAGCTGGATCGTTCAAGTGTTGCCGGAGGCTCCAAGCTTTACCAGTTTCATCCACCATAAAGCTTGCCAAATGAAATAACAACCAAAACTGGCTATAAGTTATTCATTTACCGAACTGCACCCTCAGCTGGAATTGAAACTCAATACTGTCCTGCTGGCCACAAAGCTCCGTAAAAAGATCAGCTTTGAGTTCCTATTGACGCATAAAGAGGGTCAACATGGGTCAAGCGAGAATCTGTCACACTTCTCAAGCATACACCCCCGTCACAATCACATGGACCCTGCCCGACCGACGAAACGACGCTGAAACCGAGACGGCTTTCGCGTCCGAACCTTCGTGCAGGTTCACGGTCGCCAGTGGTCTTCTGCCGGAGCGCTTTTGGTTGCGAAAGCCCTCGCAACTTTTCTTCAAAGACCCTGCTGCGGTCGTCTTCGCTCGGCAGGTCTTAGCTCCTCTTGAGGGCTACTGCCGAAAACCGCCCAACTTTGGGCCACAGGGTCTTGTACTGGACCACTTCAGCACCACTTCCATTGATCAGCTGCCAATTGTCCACCAAGAGTACGGACAATCAGCAAGCTGAGCTTGAAATGAAACTGGCGTCTGATGGAAACGACATAGTTCTTTGAGGGTTCATTCACTTTGGCGAGGGATTGAGATGTTAAGCACCTTACAGTACCCTTTTCCACATCAAACACCATAAAGACCGAAGGATTCCTCAAAATGCAGTTCAGAAGCCCCCACACTTGTGGATCTCCATTGAGCACCCCTTGAAGGTCCTGTTGTTTGTCAACTGAAAGCCGTAGTTTGAGCTACTTAGGGGACATTCTTGCCAGGCTGTGGTCTGTTAACGAAGTGGCCAACTAGTCGTCGTGTCGACCTCCAAAATCAAAAAGGCCATCGAAAAGGCCATCTCTGTCCTGCGCAGTGGATCCATCAGAATTCATTTATGGCTCTGGATCAACAAACATTTGTGGCCTGTCCAGGCCCTGTGGGTCAAGGATCAAGGACGACCAAACCATTAAAAAGACCATTCACTGCCCATTGTTGATCAGATAGCTCTCATTTACTGTATTTGGTAGCTAATGGATCCACCTTCACTGGACTAAAGCTCATTTCAGACTCTCTTGCGTCATGTCGGGTGCGTCCTGTGCTCGGTCGCTAGCTCTTCGCATCAACGGATGCTTGATCAAAATGGACTCAGTTGGTCATGTCCAAATCGGAGATCACCACACTGACTGCCTCTTATATCACAAGCACAAGTCCAATTCATGAGTTCAATTGGGTGAGATCCTAAAGTTCCAAAGTAAAGCACCAAATTATACTATCCATAGTTGAACCCATTGAAGAATCTCCTTATATCTCCTCATCAACCTCCTAAAGCACCAAATCAGGTCACTCCTATTTTGAGATCAATCTTGGGGTCCCACCAACGACCGGGGTTCGGCACCATGACAGCGGCGGGTATAAGTTCAGATTGGCTTTCTTTGATGACCACCTCAATCGTCGAAAAAGATTCACATAGCCTTTTGCAAGTGTGTTTCGGCACGCAGTCCTTTCGTTCCGCGTCGAAGCCGGCGTGGTGAAGAGCGCTCAGAAGCGCTCCGGAGGAAGTGCTCGGGGTGCAGCTGGGCGGGAGGTCAAGACATTGGTGAGACACCGAAAATATCCGAATATATATATATAATATATATATAGGAGCGATCCTATTAAACAGTGGATGATGATGGTGACTAAAGGCCATGTTCAACAATAGTAAAAATTGTTTGCTGACTGTTACAGGTAATGGGACAGGCCCAATATATTTATATTATACAATCGTCCAAGGAGTCGACAAAAAAGAAAGAACTTCGGAGTTCAGGAACGTGTTGCAACGTTGTGTACTTGGTTCAAAGAGCGAATTTTGGTCAAGTCGGGGTGTAAAGCTAGGCTTTATTGCGGAATTTGCTGATAGTTCAAACACTGGTCACTGGGCCATACTGTATACTGAATTCAGATCTGTCAAAACCTCGTACTGCAACATTGGTAACATAAAGTTAACCGTGCTGCAGCACGCTCTGATTTTGCACCATGACCACCAAACATACGCGTACTCGGGATCCTTGATCTGGGTGCCGACCGTTTCTTGTTTTGACGTACGTCAACCGAATGTTACCAAGAAGCTGAACCGCCAGGTTGACTCATTGCCTGGACCGGGGTTTTGGTGTGAAAAAAACGTGTGTGAAAAGCTTCTCCAAAAAGCCGTATCGAATCTCTCCAAGAACCATGCCATGCTGGAAAGGCGCTGTTGGCTCAAGCTCCCCAGAAATCGACCTCCCCCGAAGACTTGGTATGCTCGGGCCACCATCGCTAGACTTGGGAGAGGAATCAACCGAGTCAACTTGGCCACTATCCATTGGACTAGAAGAATGACTTTATAGACCCACCCATTGTTTACTTGCCCCATCCATCTGTCATGTCCATGTGGCCCCCAAAACCACTGTTGGTCTTTTTTCCTTCTTCCAGAGGGGGGTCCTGGAGGTCTCCCTATTTGAATTACACACCCATGTCTCGCCTCACGGTGGCAAAGCCACCGGCGCCTTGTTCCAACCAGGCGTCGCAAAGGTGCACGCCGGGCACGGCTGAGAGGGCCTCTTGCACCTGGATGCGATATTTTGGGGGAAGTCTGGGAGGGTCACGAAAACCACTTGAAGAAAGTCACAAACCTAGGTTCGTTCCACCCACCTGAAGAAAGTCTGTGTTGCAATATATCTACCTTACACCTCTTTCCGCGTTGGCCCTGTTGGCCTTTTGTTTCGCCAACATGGACTTGTTTCGGTTGCATGGGACCTGACCCACCCAAGTGTGAACCACACCCCGCCCCGTTTTGGTGCACCACACACAATCACATGCTGATGCTCCGGAAGACTCTGGAAACCCATTCAATGATCAAAACATGTATAGTGATAGTGATCCCCAAATAGATAGTGGCATGGTTTCCAATACAGTTTTTGGTGGGGATTTACTTGTCTATCTATTTGGGGGTCTGTATATTAAACATCCATGTATTCCAACGTAAGCTCATTGCTCTGCTCATCCAGACTCGGCCTTGTGAGAGTCTAAGCAACCCATCTGATCTGTTCACTTGGAACATCTTGGAACATACCCAGTGGGTTCAATGAGGAAACACCTATATAGGTGATTGTTAGGCTAGGTCATCAGGTTTTCCAGTCAATCCAATACCAAGCAGGGACGCTGTTTTTTGTTTTCGAGTATACAGTATTATAGCCAAAAACAGCTCCCAGCCGAAAATTCGTGACCACCTCTATATCTTGTTCTCTTGGGTTCCCATATCCTGAAAACAGCTCTCCAGAAAACAGCTCCCATTCTGTCTCTTGGTCCCTGAAAACAGCTCCCTAGAAACCCATATCTTGTTTCTTGATCTCTACCTGTCGCAGGTGAGGTTGCTATTTGAAGGACAAACCCGATCGGCCTGGCTGGGTAGACTGGTCTCATGTCTCTTTAAAAGAAGAACATTGTCTTTGGTGGGAGGTCTCCCGATTTTGACTCTGACTCACTAACATGCAAATCTGGGGATCCAAGAACCTTTTCAGAAGGTGTAGGTTTGGAGGGTCCAGTCGTGCCTTCTGAGTTGGATCCTTAGGGGAAGTGGACTTCGCACCCCTGTTGGGTATTCGGAAAGTCGTCTTCCAAAATCGGGACCCTGCCATATCTGCCATCCACTTCCCTACACCCTGTGTTCGTCTTCTACCCCGGCACCTTGTTGATGCAGGCCACGCAGCCCATGCCCGGCACCCTCAGCTCCACTCTCCGCAGCGCGCGGAGACTGCCGCGGGGTCGGTCACGGCGTTTGCGCCGAAAACGAGTCTGGTAGAGGTGGAGGAGCTCAGGCAGAAAGGCGATGATCCTGACGTGACCATCGACCGACCGATCGACTGCGGTGGCGGAGGGCCTTCGGCCTTCGATCAGGTCGGTTGAGGCAGCTACACGGCACTCAGCAGCTAATTCTGGATCGTGAGACGATCCCAAAGTTATAGAAGGGAAGTGGTCATGTCATGCACATCAACAGCATCTATGAGACATCAAGATGTGCAAAAGCATGTCAATCTAATGCTGACACATGGAAATGACACATGGCGTTTCACCATGGCAGCTCTGCAAAGGAGCAGTTCCTTTGTTTTAGACGGAAAAGGACAAGTTCCTGGACCATCCAAGCGGTATCCAATGGAGATCCACAAGTAGAGTGGAGTAGAGTAGCGAAGTAAATTGGGCACGCCCCTGGGTGGTCCTGGTATATAAGGATTGACCTGACAAGTCATCTTCCAAAAGATACAGTAATACCGTACTTCCCAAAGCGGCGTCTCCCTTGTGATATTGAACATAGCATATTTCATCTCCAAATCTCAAGTTTCCTTGCCGAGCTAGAAATACACAGGCTGGAGATTTTGACCATCTAGTGCTTATCAGTTCATCTAGTGATGGGCATGAGATGGGCATAGTCAGTCTAGTGACTCTGGGTATCTAGAACTCGCCCATCTCGATGCTGAACGCTGAACTGCTCCACCATCCTGTCTCGAAAACCAAGACCCCCCCCTACCCCATCCTACCCCCCTACCGATGCCACGAATCAGTTGAGCGCAACGCCAGCGCAGGCTGGGCATTGGGCTGGTCAAGAGGAATCCTGCTGTCACTGGTCCGACATGTCACATAACCGTCCTTTGTGTTTTTTTGGTCTTATATGGGTGTGTAACTCAAATAGGGAGACCTACCAGGCAACCACCCTTTGGAGAAGGAAAATAGACTGCCACAAATCTTCCTATACTTCACTGCCCTGCGTTGTTGTCATGTCAAGAGTCCACCAGTAGAGTCTGTTGGCCGAAAAGTAACCATACTTGCATGCATACCTGGGTCACTCCCTTGCGAGACTCGTCAATCAGTGTTCGTTTAAAATCAGTCCTAGAAAGAGAGGCCTCCAGGGCCCCAGGTACTTGTTGAACCCTGCGCAGCCAGCGTTCAGCAAATTGAAAAGCAGTTGCAAAGCGCAGCACGCGCTCGCCAGAAGTGGACATAGAACCTTGCGAGGGGCGGTGCTGGCAGGTGGCCAAAGATTACCATGGCGCCGGTCATTTCATGTTACATGATGTTCACATGACATGTCCTCTTTCCTTTGAGCTTCGGAAAGCGCCGTCTCGCTGGGTGCCTTCTTTCAACCGCCCGAACTCGCCTCCCATGCATGTGCCACCAGCGGTGCCGTGACCCAGGCGCGATGGAAAAGCCGCGGTGCCGAAGTCAGGATGAGCAGTACAGCAGAGACAAGAGCAGTCCTGGAGGAATCAGAGCAGCATTTGGATGACTTGGGAAGTCCGACTTCGAGGTGGGTCATCTTCTAAAGTATCTTGGGGCATCAAACAAGGCTAGGTGTTCCTTCAAACGAGCTGGTTGCGCTTGGAAACACGTCTTGGATTGGACTTGGGGATCTTTGAGGCAGCATTTAGCGAAAGGAGTGCTCATGGTTCATGTGTCTTTTCAGTGTGACGGGCGGTCCCGGTGTTTCTCCGCCGAAGAAAGGTAAACACCAACACTGCTTGGTTCATGACTGGTTCGCTGCTTGACTGATTGGATCTTCTTCTAAATGCGACTTCCGGCCCCCGGGGACCTTAAAGGTTGGCTAGCAGTCTTTAGTGGTGCGGGAACACCCAAGCAATGGCCGGTCGAAAACACCAGCGCACCATATTCTTGCATACGCCATGGCCAACGTTGACAACCAAACAGCACAACAGTGGAAATCAAGATGGAACATGGTACCTGTCCAAGAACAATCCTTATAATGTATTACTGTATCTCTGTCTCTGTCTCTCTCTCTCTCTCTCCCAACTTGGGTATTTACAACACAAACATGTAACATGCTCTCAAGTTCTCAGGCGCTCCTTTGGAGAAAGTTGGGCGACCAAAGCAAATGGTAAGCCGCGTCTACCCTATGGATTTCACCAGCAGCTCGTGCTCGTGCAAGCGCTCGTGGAGCTCGTACCTGTCGCAGCGGTGGATCTGAGTGTCTCAGCTGGCAGTTGCTATGGATGTTCTTGCAAGCTCTCTCAGAAGCGTCTTGTCTTCAGGTAAGGTTTGTGGGATATGTTGATATGTATTTGTCTCAAAGTCAAAGTGGATCAACACAAACTGAAGAAAGAAACCCTTGGTTCAAACAAAGAACTCATCAAGAATGAAGAAGCCTTAAAAGTTGACTTCAACACCTACTCATGTAGGTGATCCCCTCGAACTAATTGGCACTGAAATAGTCTCATACGTCAAGAACGAATAATCACATGAAAAACCCGAACCTCCTCAGAAGGTAGTTAGACTCCCCTGGCACCCACCCCAACAAGTAACCACCTTCTCAGGAGGTAGTTGGAGCCCTATAGTAGGGACAAAATATTCAAACCGACTGTCTCTAAGGAAGAAGCCCTCAACAAACCTCTCCAAGCTTGAGTGCTCCAAAGGTGGAAGCTTCTGGAGCGCTCACAGGTCGCGTGCCCATGCGGGGCCAATTTATGGCGCCAGTTTTGAATGCTGAGGAGTAATAAGCATGGCACAGGTGCTGTAGACACCACCATGGTGCACACAAAAGGAGCGGACGTTAGTCCCAAGCTGAATGCTGACGTCTTGTCACCACAGGGGCCGAATGTGCTGCAGTCCTTCACGTCGGAAGTTCCTCAGGCCATATGGATTTAGAATTTGATTAAATAACGGCCTGAGACCCCCAACCAATGGCTTAAAATGTGAGTGTTTATCTTGTTTAGGGTTCAGGCAAGGGAGTTCTCTCTCTATTCCAGGAGAACACCCACCCCCGCACCAACGGCCGGCCCTTTCATGGCACGGCACCGCTGCTCTGCTCCAGCACGTGGGCCCACATGGGAGCGGCGAGCGCGGGAGCGGCGCAAGGCCGCCGGAAGACATGGGGAAGGCCATGGAACGGAACTAATACGCTAAGGAGCTACCAGCCTCGCGAGCGAAATCGGCGAGGCAACCGATCCGGAAAGCCGCGGAAAGCGCTCACAACAGGGACCTTTGAGGTCCTGGTTCTTGAAATAGTGCATGGACGATACTGATGGAGATCATACCGTTAAAACACAAAAACATGGTATGCAGTTTTGGTTCCCAGTAAACCTTGTATTGTTTGCAAATGATGAAATATCTGACATGTGTCATCGGTCTAGTCATTGTGCATGACTGACGGCCTGATCTTGATCTGCTCTCCATTGCTCTTCGATTCAACAAAATTCGAAGAGTAAAATAGCCTGCCGTTGGCCGGATCATGGGCTTTTGTTGTCAACATACCAGCTGTTTTGTCTTCTCCAAACACATCAGACTCCAACATCCCTTGCACGCGTCTTGTCTGGGGCAAAATACCCTGAAGAGAAGCTGAACCCGAGCCGAGCCGAGCCCAGCCGGGCCATTCACTCAGCCATTCACTTGTGATCGTGCCCAGCCCAAGGATCCAAAGCAAACGATCACTTGAAACAACACCATGTTGCCAGGACACCCCAGTCGGGGTGGTTAATGGACACACCCCGAATCACAGCTATAGCGCTAAGGGGCTATAGACACCCCTTGGAGGGTCCTGGTATATAACCCCTTTTAGGGATTTTCAGACCCCCACTGGAACATGAGGAGTCAGAACCCCACCCCCAGGAACAACAACTGCCGACGGTGCTTCCCAGTTCGGCCGAGGGTGACGCACCGCGTCTGACGCCCCTGGCTCACCTGTCGGGCTCGAACACGGTGCGGCATGTCTCATGACACGAGACTTGACCGGTGGTGAACGGCTCTTTCGTATACACACACTGATGGCGTGTCTTGTCAATTATGATTAAGTATCTATAGCTATATCTATAGTGAAGTCTAGTTGATATCGACCCTTTTCCAATTGACAAGTGAGCCTTTGTCATGAGCCTGGGTCACTGTGTCACGGAGCACGGCACAGCAGCAATTTTTCTTGGCTCGACTCCCATTCAAAGCCTTCGTTCTTGTCTGTCCCGAGCTCAGATTCAGCTGGTACAAAATAGATGAGTCATGATGAATCTAAGATTCATCAGGTCTGCCAAAGCTAGCAATGAAGGCCTGGATTTTCCAGTGATCCCTGGGCCCACAATTCAGAATCCACCTTAGCTTTAAAACACACTGCAACCGTGGGTGCACACACACACCATGATTCAAGCTGACACTGAATGAGTCGCAGTTGGGGTGCTTCTTCCTCTCTGAATTTGCAGCCTCCTTGGCCGCTCCATCCGAAAGACCTGCTCGCTTTGCCGAAGACCAGGCAGTCGAATAAACCTGAGATTCTGCACATGGAGAAAATAGCATCATAATTATTTGACGTGCTGCATTGTATAATCCATAGACACATAGTTGCAAGATGTTGCAAGTATAGTGTTTCTAGGCAAGCCATAGAAACGGAATGAAGTTTCTTCTCAACCTCATCTTTGGGCTTTCTTGCATGTGCGTCGGGCTTGGGGGCGTTCTTTGGCTGTGCTGCACGTTTGGCTGCTGTGCGTTTGGCTGATGCCTTTGGTTTGGCACTGGACCTGCCTGATGCTGTTGCCTTTACCTTCGCCTTCGCCTTTCCTTTCGGGGCTGCGCGGGCCGGAGTGGGTTGGGGTCGTGCCAAGGCGGCTGGGACTGGAGACATTGGTTCTTTACTTTCAGGCAAAGGATCTGGGGGTGAGTCAGGACTGGGCAATGTTTGCTCTTCAATGCTGCGCTTGTCAACTACTTCAACAGGCTGACTGTCCATGTCATCAGCAGGTGTGACAGGCTCATTGGGCAGTGCTGTACTGCCATCATCTGGAAGCGATGTATCCACAAGTGCTTCCACACTGTCCCCGAATAAGTCCTGATGTCAAATTACACAACGGTCGGTATGCATGTCAAATTGTACTCATTTGGTTAGTTGAGTTGGGCAAACCATGTAAGCCAAACCCAATGTAAAACATGAACCAACCCTGGTCCCGGGAACAGGAAAACGACATCTCGTTGAAGTTGCGCAGTTCTATGGTGTGCCATACGCTCAGGTCAACATGATGGACGCTGACCACTGCTGGTCCTTTTCACTGAGGCCAGACAAATCATCCGCATTGAATCGCTCACCACGATGAAATACCTCCAAGAAACATATAAAACACAGTAGGCTGATGTTGGCCTATATACTTGTTGCTAGCACATACTGTAATTGTCTAGTACTAAGATGAAGTCATGGCACCTTGTAGGAAGGAGTTTGGTCCAACCCCAGTTGGTTGTCCGGGTGGTATTCCACTGGGGATGGAGAAGCAACATCAATCATCTTGGTCACGGAGGGGCAGCTCTCAGTCTCTGTCGCATTGCAAGGGGGATAAGTATCATCTCCAGGAATGACATTGAGGCAATAGAAATCTTGCCCCGGAATATCGCCGCCGTATACGTCACTCCTAAGCTTTTGAATACCAACAAGTCCAATACCCAATGCACATTCTCTCTAAGCTTGAGCACAAAATAGCACAAACAAGTCTAATGCCTATTGTGAATTCTCACCAAGCTTGGGCTCCACTGCGGCCACTCTTTGGGCAGCTCACCGTCACCGCTTGCAGGCTCCGTTGCAGGAGCATCACCTAGCCTGGATGGAGGCTGAATGACGGATACGAGGGTGAAGGGGCGGGCAGGCAGGCAATAGAAACAAGGTTTGGACCAAGGCTCTCATGAGTGGGGTCAGGAACCTCGAAGGATGTCAAAACCATCTCCTGGGCCAGCTAAAAGTTGGGACGTGTGGCCCTTACTTTTTCTGACCATTAAGAAGGTTTCTATGGGCCTCATCTGTGGAAGGTCGAGCAGAGCCCTGCTGTGTCCTAGGATGGGGAGAGTATGTTTTGCATTGTGAAGAGATCAACTCATTTTAATTCGCTGACCATCTTGTCGTCCGACTGGTTTTGAACTGGAAGACCCATGTTTCCACATTCTGGAAGCTCTAGAAAGCCTGGATTCTTTACAGGCAGTTCGCCACTGGTGAGATCATTCTCCGTAAAAGGTCAGGCAAATGTTTGTTTTGCACCAGGTCAGGTCAAAAACATCACCAAACAATAACTTGCAAACAGCTCAGTTTGCTTTGCATTTTGCAGACCATCTATTTGCACTAAGGGCAAGGCATTCCTTCAATCATATACTCAAAAGGTGCCTGCAGGGCTGGTTGCAACTTTGAAGGAGGGTTGGAAGCTAAGACCAAGATGGAGAACACAAAATGAAAACCACGCCTGCCGCCCCTTTTTGGCAGGTTTCTTCTTGGCTCCACCATCATTGCGAGACGGTCGCTTCATGGTCCTGCCACCTTTTCTCATCCCCAAACTATCAGCCAGATTTTCAGGGTCTGAACCTGAACCTGGCTCATCATCACTGTCATCATCTTTCTTTCCATGACCCAAGGGTTTGTGCTCTGGGGAGGGGGGCGACTCGTCATCTTCCTGTTCGGTTTTTTTCTGGTTCTTTGGCTTCTTTGTTTTTGCCGCTGGCTTACCAGTTGTAACTCTTTCCTCAGTTTTGGGACCATCGGGTGATGATTCTGAAGAGAACCTCCCTGGCAGTGTCTCATCGGATAGCCGCTTGGATCCCGAAGCAGCACCTGTCCAATATCAAACATGTAGTAGGTTTGAGAAACACGTTTTAAACTCAAACTTGAAGCATGCAGTTCTAAATTGCCTCCGGGATTTGTTTGGCCAGGACGGTCGAGCGTTGTTGGCTGTGTTGGAGGCGCTGACTTTGGTCGAAGCTGCACGGGGGCAGCGCGAGACGAAGACTGCGGCACCAGAGTGTTGAGATTAAAGGCCTTGCACAAGACTACTTTCAGGGTGCACTTGTTTGTTTGTCAAGAAGCCACTTGATTGTTTGGGTGCACACAAAGTTCACAGTGAAATCTGGTTGAGCCATGGGTCTGGTGGGCGGAACACTGCTGTTGGCGAAGGGATCACCACTTCCAGATCTGAATCCGCCCCATCACTCTGAGCGCAGGTGTCCTTCCTACGCAACTGGGACATTTGCTTCGACTCTCAAATCAAACTACCTTCAACAGCTTGAACCTTGATAATCTACATTATGCAACAGAAAGGGGCAATGAAACTCCAGTGTTCCCTTGGCCCTTCCAAACACCAAACATTCATACGCTTACTTGTCTAGATGTTCTTGCAACATCGGGTTTTCACGGTTTTCACCGCAAGAAGTGCGAGCATAGCCACAGAAAGCACGTGGGAAGCTTAACTCAACCCTGAAAACATCAAATTTGGTTGATAAAAGGTAATTGGAGTCATTACTCAGTGGTATTGCAGTTTGGAGCAGGGCTGAGAATCCAAAATTCTACCACTTGGGCACAGGCACACACTACCCCACTCTGGTTCAGAAACAAATTGCAACATATTTGGAAACTGCACAGTAGAGAAAGTATTATTGTGTGGACAACATGTTTTGTACAAACCTAATATAATCAGACCCATATTTTGGTGTTTTTCCCCAGACAAGTGTGTGCCACATTGTGCCACTACAGCTCTCATCAAACGGTTCAGGTGCTCTACATCAGCCGGAAGTTGACTTGGTCAATATCGACCAGGCCAGTGAGGCACGAAATCGGTCGAATGGGAACTAGCTTCTTCACTCCAGCGGTTGAGTTGTCCACCCTGCCAGGAAACTAGATTACAGATTCTGGTGAAACAAGGTTGGTTCTTTTGATGTTGTGTGAAGGTGCACATGGGAACAAAAACATATGCCCCTGCCTCATTCGCCAACCAATCATAAGTTTGCCTGCCCCCTTCAGCTTGCTTACGCTAAGCTTGGCCCCAAAACTGACTAAGGTTGGTCCCTTTTCTTTTTTCTTTTTCTTTTTTTTCTTTTCTCCGTCATCTGGCGGGTCCAAGACAAAGATTAATGGCTTCTCGGGGGTGATCTCTCCAGCGTCGCTGATGTGATGGTGGGACAGCGCAAGCTTCACCTCGCCAGCGGGAAAGTGGGATAATATTATGGGAACATTGGCATGGGTTGCTTGGTGGCTTGGTGGGGCAATATGCTTCAATACGTTTAGGAACTTTTAGGTCTCTGACTTCTCCAGAGTCTTGAAATTCTTGGAGCACATTGGAGAGCACTGTTGGGCTTTCAATGCAGTTCAACTCGTGGAGGTGTTGAGCTAAGTCCCTTGTCTTCTCCATGACAACAACCATGTTCTGGTCAGCTGCAAATCGGAACCACCTTCCTGCACTGTCCTGCATGCAATCATCCGCTTCCTTAGTCAGGCCAAGTGGGTGCTGGAGAAAAGTCATTGGCCCAGGACAGCGGGTATCGGTCAAACAGATTCATGATTCGGATGCCCAATCATGCTTTGCACAATGGGCCAAGTGTCCTGCCCATCTCGCCAATCTCCAGAGCCAAATGAGAACCTATGACTTCTGGGGGGTCCAAAGCTGATTGACAAAAGAACTTCAAAGGAACAGCACTCCAAGCTGATTCTTGACGTCAGTTGGAGCCATGAAACAATTCCCGATGTGCCAGAAACTGGTTCTTGCCTTTGGACACCATGTAGAGGCAATCGCCGTCTTGATTTGTGATCAGCTCAGCCATGTTGTTGAGTTGCACTTTGCACCTGAACAACAGGATGGTTCATGTTCTATGGAAAATACACGCATGAGATACTCAAAACTAACTTGGTGTTCATGGTAAGAATGCTCATATGTGGCTGAGTCCGACAAGGAACGGGCCAGTCAAGGAGTTGACTACCTCGTCGGACACCTTGTCTTCCTTCTCCACCTTGATGCGTTTCGCAGGACGTTCTTGAGCTTCAGCATCTGCAGTGTTCCTGCCAGAGGCACACTGGGTGACACTGGGTCACTGGGCGGGTGATTAGATGTGTTTGGGTAGACAATGAAGCAGTGGAAGTATCAGCTGGCAGCTAGACCCAGACAATCATCTACAAATTCCAAAGCCCCCTCCTGGCAGTGTCATTCTCTAGCCAGTCACCCTCGACGTTGAAGCGTTCATTATGATCCTTGATAAGGCCATTGGCCTCATCCTTCAAATTCTCAGCATCTAACCAGGGTGCAACCAGGCTTTGCAAGATTGCCAATTTGTCATGCTTCTGAACACAGACTTTGAACGATCCAGGTTGATGTTCTGGGTTCTCCTTCAAGGCTGCAACTACAGGACCAAAAGCTGGAAAATTGTTAATTCCCAGCGATCCATTGCGGGCCGAATCGTAAACACAATTGGCAACACGTTGCTGGAGCGAGTCCACAGTAGCATCCAAGACCACCGATCCGCACAGGAATCGGCGTTGCTCAGCAACTTCCTGGTCATCCAGGCCCAGCTTTGATGCAAAGTTGTGCTCATTTTCAGCGAGTTAACTAATACCAGAAATACATTGGGCTTTAGTTCCAGACATTCTTAAGAGCAAGTTAAGTCCAAAAGAGCAAGCTCTCCAATATCTTTGCTACGCGCCTCCAAGCACGCCAATGCAGGGAAGCAATCGTAGGCAACCAGGTCAATGACGACCATGGTTTCCATAGACGAAGGGGTGATTGTTGCAATTGTTTTGCGAACAATGTCTGTACCAGCAGCCTCCTCAGGAAACAATTCATTGTGCAAAAGAGATTCAATGGCCTAAACATGGGGCTGAGAGGTGGAAAACATCATTTGTGTTCGATTTCATTCTCACATGCATCTAGTCCATAGGTACACACCACAACTCATGTACGACTCGACCGGCTTGACCTTTTCGTAAAGTTTCACTGATCCCACCAGGCCTGGCGTTTCTCCTGCAAGTCTGTAAAGGCACGGCCCATGTGTGGTAGGTTGGTCTTGGCAGCCTCAGGAAGGGTGTAGAACATTTAGGGGTCATGATTGCACTTGATCTAACCAGTTGATGACGACGCTCGGTTTTTGGGGGGCCGACGTCTAATTCTCTCCCCCTGCCCAACTCTTTTGTACAAACTTGATAACATGCAACCTAGCCACCTCCGGTTTGTACATGCCGTTTCGTGGCAGCATGACCACATCGTGAACAACGCCGGACTTGTATCCCCGAGTCTGTCGGAACAAGTTCCCTTTGTCTTTCTGGGAGATCAAGAGTCCTGTGATGCTGCCACTTCTCTGTCCATAGACAGACTCCTCAGTTTGACGAATGCAAGGGGAGTGAAGAGGGTTGGCCACACAAGTTGCTGGTATGGTTGCTGCTCTAGTATGGTTGAGCGCCCAAAGGAGATAAATCGGGTTACAGTGACCGTGTGGGAATCTCACAGATTTATTTAAACTTTAATACATAGGCTGGGTTGAGGGTGTGGGCCAACGTTTGTTCGAGTACCTGCAGGCTAGAAGCCTTGTCGAAGACCCATGTCAAAGACCGGACATGCAGCCCACGATCTCTCATGGTAAATTCTTTCCTTGGAAGCTGGTCATGAAACGAAAGCAGGATTGCATGACACAGAGATTCCAATTTTTGTTCACAGTTTGTTGTTTTGTTGGTTTCACATTGTTCTGAATTCTACTTTGGGTGAAGGAGAAAAACATCGTCTCAGATCATTCTCACCCAAGAGTCTCAAGCTTGTAGCGAACATCACGAACATCAACATCTTCTGTGGGATCAGGTTTCTCTCCACTGTCCTCGTCAGACTCCTCCTTCATTGGTTCATCCTTGGCCTCTTCATCCTGGCCAGGCTCGTCCTTGCTGTCCTTCTTCCTGCAGTGCCAGGCAAAGGGCGGAGCAGATGTGTTGCTAGAAGTCAGTGGTAGAGTTCCAAGCCAGAAGTTTAAGGACAAGTCATCTTACAACACATCTGCCCTTAAATAGGAGAGGTCTTTTGACATCCTTTGATATTTAACTGACCACATTTAGAATTCAAAAAGATCCCAATAGTGGTAAATCAAAGAATTAGATAGTAGACTTGAGGGTGAAAAGGTTGAAGGCTTACTGTAATGCCATGTGTCCGGTCTGGTGGTTGCCCCGCACGGTTGGGGTGCAGCAGCACAGCACAGGAATTTCGGCGGAACTGTGAGAGCAAGTTGGCAATCGATGTGATAACAAAATCATGCTTAGCAGCACTTAGCACTCCGCAAGTCGGCAAGTTGCACCAGAGGACGACTCCGTGATCGGAAGAATCCTTCACCTCTGGAATCTCACCCAGTGCTTCACTGATCCACGTGGAAACTGCCGGGAGAATTGTAGACTCTGCATCGATTGCACGCCCCGTGAAGAAGCGCAAATTGGTGCGAATGTATTTTCCCACAATCTCCCAGGCTTTGCCGTGGAGCTCCTGAAGTAGCTGCAAGTTTCCCGAGTAGAAAGATTGAATTAAGAGCAACTAGTTAAACCATTAATGTTAAAATCCGTTTCTGGTAACTGCTTATTTGCTCAAAAATCAATTTGTACTTCCATGCACTTCCGCGAGTCAGTGTTTCTAGCTTTCATGGTTCTTGAGTGCGCACACCAATGTCCTCCAATGTGGTAATCAGCTTTGTGCGTCTCTTTGCCACGTGCTTCTCAGTCCTCATGTCTCAATTCTCGACTTAAAACCAAATAAGAGCGCTAGGAAACACAGAAAACCTGAGCTGGAACGGTTCCTTGTTGTAACCTGACTGTTGCCATGGAGGTCACATTAGGGACAAATCTTCCTTTGTCGACCTTGAGTTTAGAATAGGGTCGGGGGGGCATCTTTCCAAATATATGGGATAAGGAAGCACATGACTCATGACTGACCCCAAAACAAGCTTTCAATCTTGCGTCAAAGAGTCAGAATGCGTTGGGAGTCGAAAGAGATTTGGTCAGCTCTGAGGTGCTCCTTCCACGCCTCAAACCCTGCCAAGATCGATCTTTCCCGGGCGTTCTTGCTCCTGTCCTGGGCACTACTGATGTACTCCTCCACTGTATGCCCACGGATCTGCAGGGCAAACATAAAGCAAAACATTTGACTTCAGGTCTGTATATAATAGGTCTGTAATTAAATTGCTGAAAACAACTCCAACGGTTTGAGCACCATAATATGCGTAATATGTGAGCATATGTTGATATCCACTGTGGAGGTTGAAAGAGTACTATGCCAAACTGAGTTTGAGATGAGAGTTTTATAGCACTGCCCTTGAACACTTCAAAACCCACCTCGAGGATGAATGACACCCGCTCCCACTCAAAAGGCTGCGCAGCTTTGAGCACGCCAGCCAAATCGTGGTCCAGGCTCCTTGGGCAGAAGAGCAGGGGCAGAGTAAGCCAGAAACATGAAAAAATATGAAACAATCCCCAAAAAATAACACTCTATAAATTCACAGCTAAATCAATCATCCCGCGGTCTTGGTTCAGACAATGAGATTTGTGACGGGGTTTCCAGAAACCCCATCAAAAATATATAAGGGAAATGGAAACCAATCATTGGCAGCCTATCAGCTTTAAGATGGGAAAATGATTGGGTTTTGGAGGCAATATGTTTTTGCGACGGGGTTTCCAGAAACCCCATGAAAAATATGATATGTCTTTGTAAGGAACCCAAATGATTGATTTGGGACCGTTCCCGGCCAAATCGATTTTTGACTTTGTGACGGGGTTTCTGGAAACCCCATGATTTTTTTTAAACAAAATTGGCGCTAGCCAAATTCGTGTTGAATTTGGCGCTGGCCAAGTCACTTCACAAAAAAATCACGCCCACCTAACTGCATTCAATGGTCCCTTTGGCAAACAAATTATCGTACTGGTTGATCACGGTATCGGGAAAGTTGTCACACATTCGCTTGCGGAGATAGAGCCACAAGCAAGCAGAGTCGAACAGCTTCTTGTGCCCAGCCAAATCGAGCTGAGCAGCTTTCTGACACAGGGGAACAGCAAGGGTGGCTCTGTGAACAGTAGTGTTTGAAACCCCACCTTCGCCTTGGTAGCATCACCTGTGCCAACTTGGCGCTCAAAGTCCTGAGATACCATGTTGGCTGTTCAGTCAGACTATTTGTTATTACACATGTCTGACTGTTGATTGGAAAATAGAATTGGCACTGTCCTTTGTTGCTCGATACAGCCACATCATGGTCGCATCTTTTGTCACCTCCAAGACCTCCTTAAACTGTCCAACTCCTGCATACTGTGGGTCGTCCTGACGACTCACGCTGCCAGGGACCCAGAAGTCATCGGCAAGGACTTCCAGGATCACACCAGACGAGGCGTGAGGGTACCCGTCATAGTGTTGGTGGAGCACGTCGATGAAACCATCTGGTGCACGCAGCCTTGGCGGTGCTTGGAAATTTGTTCAGGTATTACATTGCAGTGTTACAGCTGGACATTGTCATTTTGGCGGTTTGTCCAAGAAACAGGTTGTATATCAATCCCTTCTTGGCATTCTCTATACGGTGGCGGCGGACCGTCACCATCTTGTTGTATTCTGCAACTGCCCGGTTTAGGCAGTCTTTCAATGCCTTTGATACACCTGCTTTTCCCGAACGTCTCTCTAGAGAAATAGCTTGGTTCATAGTACCCGCCAGGTCGACGGCGCTCGGTGATTGCTTCTCAGAGCTGACATATCCCTGTTCTTAGTTAAGCAGGTCACATGTGCCAGTCTAAGGAACAAGTTACTGTGACACTGTGAATCACAAACTATTTCGATAGCAAAGGCTCTCAAGCTGTAGAGGTAGTGGTGAGCTGGATTGTCGTACCAAGTAAATGCACATCTAACAATACGGAAACTCTCAAGCATGGCCTTGACATGCGGGTGTTCCAATTGCCGATCATCCCATTCCTGCATATGGGCATATGGTAGCGAGGCTGCGTACAACATTTTGACACTTTAACCCAAAGCTAGCTATGATGACATCCATCATGAGACATAATGCCGACATGTGTCCAACTCGTAAATGAAGCAAACAATGGACACCATGATCAAGACTTTGCAGAATCCGTCGACAAAGCATACACTGCCCGGCTTTAAGACTCTGGTGGAGTCTGCGAATGGAAAGGACACCTCGACCGCCTCTGCTGAGCTCCGATAGCCACGAAGAAATTCTCTGAAATGAAGGCGAACTTGTTGGTTTTGCGGCCAAACTGCAAGCTGTCAAGGGTGCTGCACCAATGATCTTCAGAAAACTCAACACCTGGCAAACCTACCAGAACTCTTGACATTGAGTCCCTGACACCCGTTCTTGGCATCTCTATCGATGTTGAACGCGCTCAGGGGCAGCCATAGTTCCTTCAACGATGAGCGAGGAACTAGAGTCAAGACAGGCCTTGCATCATCCCTCTCAAAGGCACACATCACCAGGCGATCAATCACCTGCAAGGGCACGCAAGCAGAAGGTTTGCCCCTCTCAAAATTGACTGACTGGAGCCTGGCCTTCTCTCGAGTGCTTACATCCCCAAACACTGCGTTGACATGTTCCCCGAGGTTCTTCTTCGCAACAACCTAGAAACAAGACATGCTGCCGAACAATGGGTTCGCCAAACAACTTGGAAAGTGTTGAGGCGTCCACTGTCTCAAAATAGGCAGTCAACTGGACCAGGGGGTCTGCATCAATTTCTGGTTTCTCCTCTTCTTTTGTCTCCACGGCCATGCGGAAACAAGCACACAGGATCCCTAAACTTCCAGGTGACTTGGAGCCACTGAAAGCTGGACAAGAAGTAAAATCAATACCTGCACAAAAAAATAATAACCATCACAAAAAGGACACATCAAACAGCACTAAGGTTTTCCAGCGGAAATCTTGCGCGCACATCTGGCATACTCTGGCAAGCTAAGGATCACCCAGGTTGACCCATGCTTTGTATGCAAAACCCCAAATCTAGTTCCTATGGAACATCACTTGAAGCCAATGAGGCCTCGGTGGATCAGGCCGCTGACCCAGCTCCAACCGGGCTACCCGGTCAGCTGCACTTGGTCCATTGGAGATGAACTCAATCTGTTCATAGGGCTGCCTTGGCCGGTCATTGTTCAGCAAGCTCTCGTAGTATCTGAAGGTCCGGGTCAAGTGTGGGAAGTCCTCACGAAGAGCCTTCAGGAGTGATTCGATTTCCTGACGTCGCTCCTCATCCAGGACAGCTCGACAGGTCTGCTCAGTAGAGTTGATGGTGCTCCAGAAATGTTGGCAAGCTGGAAGGAAGGATTCTGCAAAAACTAGCAAGGGTGGTTGCGAGAGGCCTGAATCACTCATGTTGGCCTTGACCATAACAAAAACATCTTTCTGGCTTCCTGCTGATCTCAGCCGTGGTGGCAGCTTTTGATCAAGATCTGCAGCTGGAAGGTTTGGCATGACTGACAAGCGAGGAAAGGCGACACACAAACAAGGAAGCAAGCAATTTACTTGGTTTTTGTGTGCAAGTGCGCACAATGTACTGACATGTCAATGTACCTAGCCTTCCCTCCGCATGAATGTGAAGGACTGCGGGACTTTCATGTTCTGGGATTCATCTGACTTTCTGGTCTTGTAGGCCCCATACAAGGTGCTTGTGCTCGGCATGCACTGACACCATAGCCTCACCTTGACTCACGCGCGCGTCCAAACAAACACTGTAACGATCTCGCCGAGTAACTGTCTCGATGAACTCGACGGTGAACTCCAAGCCTTGCTTGACAAAGAGTGGTCCCACCTTTTGCAGGAGTACCCTGGCGACAGTGTTTGATATTCAATCTCGGCGCAAAAAACCTGGAGTGGGAGGCAATGAGCGTGCCTTCGAAAGTCTTGCGGTGTTTGAAGTTGGGATCGCTGTTCTGACTTGATCGCTGCTGTGCATAGGCTAAACACGCCGTCTGGCAAGCAGGGGAACTTAAGTCGCAAGCAAACAAGCCTTCACGCAAAACTGCCAACAAAATTCAACAAATGTGGCCAGGATGCCTATGTCTTCATGCGTGTGTCCCACCACCATATGGTGGTGGGACACAGCATTGAAGTACCCAGCTTGGGTTAAAAGACAGGCTAGTCTTCCTGTGAATGAGTTTCTCACTTCCTTGACTGTATTGTCGCTCTGCAACCAGAGCCTAGGGACTGATCTGAAGAATGATGATTGATTCACTGAAGGGCCTTTACACTAAACTGCTGACAAGCAACTCTGTTGGAAACGGAGCTGCTTTCACCCGCGATTGCTTCCATGCCTTGTCGATGGAGCGCATGGCCTCATGAACCGGGAATGTCATCATTCCAGGTTGTTCCAGACACGAATCTCACTAACTATTTAAGGGCGGCCTGGGCGCCACCTCAAAAGTCCAGTTGGAACCCAGGGCTTGACCCTCGTCTGCAATAAACATATACACGCCGTACCCGTGCACAATCGTTGCCGTCAAGGTTAATTGAGTACCTTGTTTCAATGCCCAAGGTCCACAGTGAAGCCTCCCTCACATGCAAAAAACTGAAACACAATGATCTTATGTTCATCCAGTGTGCGTCTGGTATTCTCGTACAATGCGCGCTTCGGTGTGCGATGCCATTTTGGCAAAGACAGCTTGGCGTGATCGAAGGTATCCAAGATCATTACTAAGATGTCTTTCTGAACTTTGGATCGCTCTCTGGCTAGCCAGTAAACTTCCCTGTCCCTGAAGGACTGGGTGAAGTGATGGAGTAGTTGGTCCGAGAGTTTCGCGTGCGTCATGTAGTCCTTATCTTCAACAAGGCGTAGAGACTTAATTAATAAATGAACACTAAATGGTAGTGGCAGAATGCTCCAATCCAAGTTTCTTTGGATTCCTGTATTTGTGTGCGAAGCTTGGCACAAGTCAGGCACTGCGCGTGGTGACTAGGTTGCCGGAATTTCAGGCATTGGCGCCAAGCAATAGTTTGATTGAAGAAGGTCGCACGCGAAGCTGCCTGTTCTTTCTTGACAGCACACCATGCCTTGTACATCAAAAACAAAGTACTCCAGTTTCCGTGAGGCATCTCCCGGGCAGGGAGCCTGCTCGGGTCACTGTTGAACGTGACTTGCATAGAGCCACCCATCAATTGGGCATTGACCAAGCGGTCAAGAAGCTCATCTCTCAGCTGACTATCGGACTTGTTGAGCAAGCTTTTGCTGGCGATCCTGACAGTGTTTGTGTGTTGGCTTGGCTTTGATCAAGAATATAGTGGACAGCTGACACTCGATTCCAGACTTGTTCATGCAAGGGTCTCTGTGGCCATTGCCTCCCCAGCAGTCCAATACATGTGGAGCATGAAGGATTTAACACTCGCGCTCATGATGGCAGGTCTTTCTGACTGTCCTTTCTTGCATTCCAACTCGATGCTTGAAAGCCAAAGTGCAAAACTGCTTCACATGTGAACAGCTTTTCCATACCAAGCAAAGGCTCTGCCTAAGGTCCGGAAATCTTTCCCCCCAAATGTTTTGCGACATCGTTGCAGCCTCTTCCGTCCAACTGCGAGCATAGCCATCCAGGCCCCCTTGCAAACATGAAGTCCTCGCAGTGACAGGCCACTTTGAGTTTTGATGGACCGAAAAATGTGCTGACTTCACAATTTGCTGACTCCACAACAGGCCAAGCAAAAGTCCTTCTATGTGCCACTGCTTCTTGCCTCCACTGCCCTGCTGGATTGTCCACAGTACCGTGTCCTGCCCTGACTTGGACAGTGACCAAAACATGCAGCAAATCTTCATTAAGATCCTGAAATTGACAACGCAGCGGCACTTGCACTTAGGGCGTCGAAGGATGTCACGGATTCGATCACCTGACTTTCCGTTTTTTGCATGTTCTGAAAACTCCGCATCATCATGGTGAGATGCAACAACTTGCATGCTCTGGAGCCGCTCTATGGTAAGGTCAATGTAACCAATCCCTGTTTGGTGAGACTCAGAGCTGCTTGATCCACTGGAGGAAGCATCATCATGACCATCATTAGCATCACCACTCCTTGTTTTGCCCACAGGTTTAAGAACGCAACAAGATGGTCAGAGTACACTGGTGCATTGTTGCTTTGAACTTCGGGTGCAACCCAGACACGAATCAGAAGAACCGGTTGAATCATCATCATCATCATCTTCAAACCTTTGAAGCCCTGGAACTCCATTGTGTAGACAGCCATCCGGATCCCAACGGCCAAGAAACGGCATGTGAGGAAACTGTATCAAAAAGACGAGTGACAGGTAAACTACGAGGTTGAAGTCAAAAGGTTGAAGTCAGTTGAGATTTTATAACAATTCTGATGGCAAAGGAACGAACAGAACTATTGTGGTGTACTGTTTCGAACCAGGCAGGCAGGTGTTGGAATGTGAACTGAACAGTGGACAGTTCGACTGTCAAACAACTAAAACACGAGGAGTCAACAGTCTTTCCCTGCACCGCGCACCTGTCAGGCCGATGCTTTGTGACACTTAGTTGCCAGTCATCTTTGATGGCACAGTTGCTGACAATGCAGCAGCTAAGTTTACCAAGACGGCACGAAGACACATAGCATTTCCTCCCAGCGAGTGCAAAACCTTAGATTTGTTCATGTTGGAATGAGGTTCCTGGATTCCAAGCGTTCCAAGGTAGATGAAATACAAAATAAGCATTGACATGTAGACAAAGGAGCAGACTCTGGCAAGTTGTTAATTTGCAGCCGATAAGTGGGTATCCCCATCAACAGCATCAATTCACGGCCAATTAAGAAGCGCTCCTTCTCCAAGATAAGCCACTTGCCATTTGGCCTTGGGCGAAGAGCTGTGCCATTAGAGATTTTAGAGACGTTTCACATCGTTTCATTCAATGCGAGGGAAGCACGTGAGGCAGGGCAGTGGCTTGGACTTGGCCACATTCACTGGCATTTGAAGCAAAGATTGACTTGTATTGGCGACTGCAAAGGAGCGGTGCTTCATGGTCAGGAGATCCAAAGCCTACAGAAAGAAAGTCCATGGTTAGGGTCCCCCCTCATGGTTCAGCTTTCCTGAAAAGAAATGAGAAAGTCCATGGTTAGGGTCCCACATGGCTCAGCTTTCCCAACTGAGAAGCCAGTCCTGCCTCGACTTCCCTCTTGCTGGTCACATAGCGCCAAGCTCGAGGATATCGCTTCTTGAACTGGTTCTTGGATGCACGCAGTCCAACCTGCACAGAAGAGTGTTGGCAGAAACTCGAATTGGACCTAACTTGCCTTGTGGTGCTTGGCCCAAAGCTTGTGGCGGTTGATCCATTTGGCGTTGCGATTCAAAGGCCTGAGAAACATAGTAGGGCGCAATAAGTAGAGCCTACTTTTCATAAGTTGCAAACAAACACACCAATAATAGAAGCCAGGCAACCTTTTTGCAGTCCTGATTCGGGCCATTTCACGGGCAGCCAAATCTTTCACTACAGCAGGATGGTCTTCTGGCAGAAGGAGATCTTGCCTGGGCTTGGAAAGCAAAATGCCACTGGTTGCAACACGATTGGTTTTTGCAAGACATCGTAATCATAGGCAAACCACCATGTGACTTCGGGTTTGCACTCCATTGACTTAAGCTTGTTCAAGATGTACTCACAAAAGTTCTCCTCACAAATCGCTCGTTGGCATACATCCTTCCGCACCAACACAATGTATATGCGCCGGCGGGACAATGGGCACCCAAAATGAAGCCTGAGCAGCTTTGGTGCGAACAACTGCAGAAACTGAGTTTCTAACTCAGCAAAGTACTCAGCAAAGTGGCGGGTCACAGATATTGGCGCGCAGGTGGTACCTGCAGTTCAATCTATAAACAACACATCACAGTTTCCACGGTCAAACCAGTCAAAGTGATTAGAAAGCCAAGACACTGTTTGAGGTGCTTTTCGATCCATTCCATCACTGTAGGAAGGCATCGCTGGAATCCAAGCACGTTTTCCATCACCACTACCTTGGGACGGGCTTGGATAGATCAGTGAGGTTCAAACTACCGGGACTTACAAAGTCGACAAGTTTGCCAAGCCACTTTCGGAGAGTGTTTCTTGATCCGTCGGAGTGTCTCGAACAGCTGTCGAGCATTGTCATCGTCAAGAAGGGCACCATGATTATTGAGAAGTGAATATGGGGTGCACGGAAACCCCGTGCAGTACACTTCGACCTTCAAGATCTCATCAAGGGTCACCAAAAAAAACACTGTTGACTTCACTTGCCATTGCTGTCGAGAAGCAGACTTGAACTGTTGCTTCTTCTGATCAAACATGTCGCTGGCAATCCTTAGGCCGATAAGGATATATATTCTATATTACGAATATAGCTCGGTAGAGGGTGAGTAGTTATTGTTTGCAAGATAGTCTCTGCTCACACTCTGGAAAGTTCTGTTCCAAGAACCGCCGCTTCATTGGATGAATCTCAGATGCTGACCTGAGCAGGTGTCAAAAAAAGGTTTCCTTGTGCGGTATGCCTGAGGGGACTTGTGAAAGGCTTGGAGCCTGGCAAGTGTTTTAGTTGTTCAGCACGCCCACATGCGCCGAACAACATCCCCAAAGCCAAGAACGGTGTCTCAGCACCTGAGCCTTGGATAGGGCACAAATAGGCACAATAGGGTGACTGGGGGCTTAAGAAGATCATAGAAGACCTGACAACATCTCCGAGTGGCAGTCGGACACGAAGTTGACGTGCTTCTTCTTGGGGAGTGCTTTGAACCACTCGGCCAGCCCTTGGGTTGTTGTCTTAAAAACAGCATTAGTTCACTTGCACCCAGACGCATCGATTTGGAAAGCGTGCGTCCGAGAGTCCAGATTTCTGGAGGAAGAGGGGTCCAACCTCCAAATACCTCTTGACACGGGCTGGCACCTCCTCTTGCTCCAAAGGCTCTTCCTAACAAGTAGAACAGGGAGACTCAGGATAGAGGGGGTAGAGATAGAGCCTGACGAATATTAGAGATGAATAGATTGAAGGAAGCACTCCTCAGAAGTGTCAGAGACATCGCACCATGGTGGAGGGCACTGATGCGACGCCATGCCGCAGAGGCTTTCAACTACCCTGACCCAAAAAGATTCTCGCGGGGATGCGGCCTTTCTCACAAGTCCTGAGACTCCCTTACCAATTAGAAAAGTATCGGTTGCAACAAGACAAGCCTCTATATAGATGTAGTACAGTTTAATTATTGGGAGTCATTGAGTCATTCCAAAAATAGACCGGGACCGAGAGAGCGATCAAGCAGTGTGTAATGTCGGTACAGTCCCAAGAAATCCGACTTCTCCTGGAACTTGCAACCCATTTCAATGATCAAAGTACTCAGTACGTCGCTCCAGCACCAGCCGGGCCAGCGGCCCAGGCGGGCCAGTGGCCCAGTGGTGAAATTTATGGTCACAAACCCTCCAATCGTCACGGTCACATGTCACAGCCGCTGGGCCTTTTGGCACGAGATCACGACTTCCATTTTCACACACGACAGGGGTTGGTCTCAGAGGGTGGGAGATGCTGCAAACATGACACATGCAGTATATTATATATAATATACAAACATATACAAACAACATAGGGTCATGGACAGCGTCTATTGAATATATTGCCAAAGAGAATTCACCCATAACATCCCATCACCGATTGAAGATGACCAAATCATGTACTTTGTGAGTCTCCCGTGTTGAGACCTACCCACTGTCGCCGAAGGGTTGCTGGGTATAGTTCCTTTAGTCACTGTCTGTGCTGCTCTTCGGATCGTAACCAAGCGTCGTCGGTCGGATCGACCTTCCCGACCAGCAAATC